GCTGGCAACAGCGGACAGATGGTTATTCCTGCAACAAGAGTAAACCCTGTTATTTCACCAGTCGACAGTGTAAAGGTGAGGAAGGTTTTAACCAACATTAAACATCTCAAATATGGCTAAAAATACATTCAGATAAAAATCAACTAATTCGATTCACAAAATGAGTTTGATTTTCAGAGAGCACTCAATTTGGACATTTGGACTAGCAAAGCAGAAACTCCTTTGGGGTTGTTGCACATTTTTATAGTAAAGCCATCATGTTTAAAAACCACCTGCTAGACGAGCATATCGAGCCCGAATTTCAGCCATACGCCTTTGTCGGAATGGTACAATAAATAGACGAGTAGTGAATCCCGTCAGCCTACGACCCCTGTTTGAAGATGTTTACCTTTTGAAACAGCGCGCCAGAATATTTAACAGATCCCGGCATTCCGGGGATTAAACAGGTATTTATTGCCAGTCATAAGTTCATATGGTGGCTCCTTAATTCAGGCTGTCTGGCTAGGGGTGAGATGGCTGAAAATATGTGTACATGCAAATACAATACCACGTTAACCTAACTCTCATACCAATGCACTAATGATACCCGCATGATCGGCTTTGATTAGCCCTGCTCGTTCAGGTCGGCTCGCCGATTTCTTGAAAAGATTTGGTGGTTTTTCTTCCGCGATGGTCCAGTACTGTATACATTATTTTGAGATGCAACAGGCCTTGAAATGCTTAAATTTCAGCCTGTGTGCGCTGGGTCAACACATGACCGCCGAAAAGGTCTTCTCTGTCTGGTTGTTAGCGCCACGCATACACGCATTAAATCTTAAACAATTAGGGTGCACGAACCACGGGCAAAGATCATGTTATTTTCCCGCTTTATTCACACATTTTACAATTGCTTTCGTAAACCACATTTTTATGTGCGCATTCAATTGATTTCCGAGCACGAATCGCCTATGAGTGAATTTTCGCAGACAAACCACACCCCTAGTTATCATTAGGATATACTGTAATTTTCACAGGCTAAAAGTGTTGTAAAAAAGTTTGCCTTTAAATGTTTTGACTACTGTGTTATCAAAGCGCGGCAAACAGCGTGTCAAGCTGCAGACGATGAGGAACAGAAAATTTATGTGATTAGCTCAGATTATGGACTTCTGCCAGCCAAATGAAGATGTCTCTTTTCGGAAAGCTATTAAAATCTAAACGTTTTGTCACGCTCTCAGGGTTCGCCTTGCAAAAATAATGACATTTACGATCCATCGCCTGCAAAAGCACAGGGCTGGAAAATGCTTTCTCTTCTGCGATGCTGCGATAACGTCCCTTTTTCAGCTCCGTGAGCTGCAGAGCAAAGAAAAAGAACATCCCGCTGATCTAACGACGAAGCGATTTGAACAGTTAGAGGATTTGTATTTCGGAAGCAACATGGAGTTAGAATGATTGACGACAGGATGGACGCCGCCATACTTCTGAACACCAATCTGATGTGTGCGACGGACGAAAAATTTTGAAAAATATCTGCCTCTTTCACTTTTGGGACAGTCCTTATCGACGGCTCATCGATCGCTAGGTACTATTGGCGTTTGCAGGGTCTGTTAGTCTGTTCGCACGAATTTCACGACTTGTATTGATGGCATGAGCACGACGTGGCTCCTCACACGTGACCTGGAGACGGCGATGACTGTGAGGCTTGCGGTCAGGCAGTGTCACGTGAGCACGACGTGGCTCCTCACACAAGGCCTGGAGACGGCGGTGATTGCAAGGCATGAGGTCAGACCCCATCTGGTTGGTGAACGAAGCAGAACAGGGCTCCCGAGGTAAGGGAGTAACAGGTAACAGGACTCCCGCGGGACACCATCAGCCAGGCTCGGAGCTGTGCCAGCCCGCCTTCGCGTGTGTCACTCGACACGACACGACGATTTCATGTGTCGCTCGACACGACACGACGATCTCATGTGTCGCTCGACACGGCACGACGATCTCATGTGCCGTGCGACACGACACGACGATCTCATGTGTCACTCGACACGACACGACGGTCTCATGTGCTGTGCAACACGACACGACGATCGCATGTGTCACTCGCCACGACACGACGATCTCATGTGTCGCTCGACACTGCACGACGATCTCATGTGCCGCTCGACACGGCACGACGATCTCATGTGCCGTGCGACACGACACGTCTAACACAGTATAGGCATAGTTCCCATCGTGATAGACCCGCACGACCCGCACCCAAACTCCTGCAACACTCTTGCTGGGGAACTGCCCGAGGGCTCAACTGAAAGCCATCAGGGACTGCCGGGGCATCTTAAAGGGAGTGCTCCTCATTTGTGCGGGGTTTTGAACTGGAATGGCCATCTCAGAGATCTTTCGGTGCTGTTCACGACGCTTCCCTTCTTAAGGCCTGAACTCTTCTAGATTCTGAGCCACATGCCCGCAGAGATATGCAGACTTTTAGGGGGAGGCTATTTCAAGGTCACGAAGGCGTCCATGACACCATAATGACGTCATTTAAATCCTGTCATTCTATTGGTCATGCGATGGTCAAGGCCAACACAAATATAGCTGTCAAGTCGTTCAAGTCTGGCGTATGCGAGCACCATTTCCTGATGTAACGGTCGTCAATTAGCTCCCACTCAATGTTATGCAATGTACGACGACGTAATCAGGCAATGACGTATTGAGGAGTGCATTTTCTAGATAGAGAAACTGTGTGGTCCGGAGCAGTCTTTTCCGCTTAAAAGTATACCAAGAGTTCCTAAGTGAGCTTATTTGATTATACCTAATGCTTGTAACATCTTCAAACGTGGAAAATTCCCTGTAATAAAACTTGTGGGAATGGTTGTGCACGTACCGCAGCCAGAGTTGTGGCGAAGGTTATGATGATGCTTTTACTTAAATTCAAGACAAACGCGATCTATTGCCAGGCTATAGCACCACATACGGGACGCGACAACTAAAGGGGGGGAAGAACACTGAAACTTCCTGAAAATTGAAAAGCGACCCTATGGGCACTGGTTGGAAAGACATAACCAAAACTGGCTATCTGCCCCTTGATCTTGAGAGGGCTTCAAATGCCCCTGAATTCTTAACGGTAAATCAATCTGCCCACTTCAGGTCTGTTCTTTACTCTGATTCACTAACCACTGCAAGTTCTAACTCCTTTTAATTTACTTGCTACAAAAACCTCACTGCAATTATTGTATTCTGCGAGCCAAACGGCACGCAAAACAAAACAAGATGTATTACATCTATGCGTGGTTCGTGCGATGATCCTGAACGGTGAACCGCTGATGGTATATCCCCAAGTTCGTTGGAGTGTTGAAGACTAGACTCTCCATGTTTCTGCTGTCCCGCTATGTGCCTTTCAACAACTTCTCACATAATTTATGCCTGACATTGTGGCGAACAAACATGCCGGGAACAATTCTTCGAAGGGGATGGAAAAACTCCATTCATGGCGTGCACCACAAACCCACCATAACCAATTGGGGTTAGAGCGGACGGGCCCATAGTACCAGCGGACGGATATGGCGGCCGTCCAAGTCGTCCGGCAGAGGGAGGACACGGAAACAGGATCGTTTAAAGGGAATGCTTCACGGTTGAAGATGTTAAAGTGAGAATCAAAGATGATGAAAAAGATTGCTTATGACCATTGGTATATTTTTAAGTGAAAAAGACTGCTCTGGGCGGCACAATTCTCTGTGCAGTAAGTATCTCAATCCGTCATGGTTTGATTACATCATGGAAACCATGCACAACATAGACTGAGAGCCAATCGGCCGCCATTACGTCCGGAAATCGTGCTCACGAACGCCAAACGTGGACGCTACAACAGTTATCTTTGTCGGCCTTGATCGCCGCATGACTTTTGGCATTGCAGAATTCAAATGACATTATTGTAGCGACATGAACGACAAAGTGACTTTAAAATACTCTACCCGAAATACCTCTTCCTTTTCGCGGTCGTGTGGCCCAGAAACTAGAGGGGCATAAGCCTGAAGATGGGCAGGGTTGTGAACAGCACCGAGGGGTCTCCGATGTGGCTATTTTAGTCCAAAACCCCCTTGCAAATGTGGAACACTCCCTTTAATAAAAACCTGCGAACCGCATCGGATGAGCAATACATGCCGACCTCTCTCCTGAAGCGCCGATACTTCCTCTGACTCGGCTGAAAGCTGTGAGGCGTCCGCCCCTGCCCTCGTGCCGCGCGCCCGCAGAGCGCGGCGCTCCAGTGCCCTGGAGCGGAGCTGGCAGACCCGGCCCGCGCCGCCGCCCGCAGTGGCGTGCTGCGCCGCCTAAAGAGGAAATGGTTTCGTTTCCAGCAGACAATCCCTCCAATTGTCTGAATGAATGTGATTGGAACAATGAGTCGGCCGGCGGCGCCAGAGGACTCATTTGGCGTCGTTCGCGGTGCGCGCTCGGCGTTCCCCGGGGCCCCGGATGACCAGATGAAAAGGCGGCGAGCGCGCTTCGCGGAGCCCCGCTCGTAAAGTTGACCGGGCCTCTGGCGCGCCCCGACCCTGTTGAGCGGCCGATCCCACTTTATGGATCATTAAAGTCCACTTTGGTGCTCGATGCTGGCCAGCAAATGAGTTTAATTATGGCGCGATAAATTCGCGCCGCATCTCTGTTTGCCATTGGCCGGCGCCGCCAAGGCATAAGTGTTGCGTGATTTACCGGCGTCGTTTCTCAGCACACGGCCGGAATGAGACATCAGCTTTGCGCCGCCAGCCGAGCCGCCAATATTTCTGCAGCGTTGCGAAAGCGCGCCGTCCCGAGAGAGCGATTTTCCGCCCTCTCCGCTGCGCGCCGGTCGCCGAGCCCGGAGGCTCCGCCCCTCGGCGAGGGGCGGAGCTTGCGCACGGCGGCGGGCGCTGATTGGCGGGCGGGCGGTGGGCGCGGCGCGGCTCGGCCGTCGGCCACCGCCCGGGCCACGCTCACTGCAGCGGCGCGCCGTGTCGGGTGAGGACGCCGCCACGCTCCGCTGTCGCGCGCCCCGCCCCGCCGCCCGCCCGACGCCCGGTGAAGTGACGGACGGACACGACTGTGAGCGGCCAGTGTCGCCCGCGGACCGGCTGCCCTGCTGCGCGCGTCGTCGCCGATGACACCATGGTTTGCTCAGCTGTAGAGATGAACCCGGCCCCCCTGAAATCGTCCTTCAGCATCGACTCGCTGCTCAACGACCCGTTCAAGCAGCGGGTGCCGCTGCCGGCGCCCGAGGCGGACGCCGTCTCCGACGACGGCATCCTGGAGAGCGACGTCGACGTAATCGGCACCGACGAGGACGCCGACAACTCGCGCGAGGCCGAGGAGAAGCTCTTCGACGCCGAGCCGGCCGACGAGAAGGCCGACGCCAAGGGCGACGACAAGGCCGACGACAAGGCCGACAAGAAGAAGTTCGAGAAGCCGCCGTACAGCTACAACGCGCTCATCATGATGGCGATCCGGAGCCACCCACAGAAGCGGCTCACACTCAGCGGCATCTACGAGTACATCCTCAAGAACTTCCCCTACTACCGCGAGAACCGGCAGGGCTGGCAAAACTCGATCCGGCACAACCTCAGCCTCAACAAGTGCTTCGTCAAGATCCCGCGACACTACGACGACCCGGGCAAGGGCAACTACTGGATGCTGGACCCGTCCTCCGACGACGTCGTCATCGGGCCAACGACGGGGAAGCTGCGTCGGCGCTCGTCGACGGCCGCGCGCAACCGTCTGGTGGCGTTCCGACACGGGCTGACTTCGCTGCCCTTCCCCGCGCTGTACCCGGCGGCGGCGTACCCGGGCGGCCGGCTGCCGGCGCCGCTGTACCCGCCGGCGGCGGCGCTCTACTATCGCGGCGTGTACCCGGCGCTGTACCCGGCGCTGGCCGGCGAGCGGCCGCCCTACCTGGCGGCGCCGTTCGCGCTGCCGCCCGGCGCGCCGGCGGCCGCCTCCTCGCTGTACGAGCTGTACAGCAAGCTGCCGGCGCGGCTGGCGGCGCCAGCCGGCCTGTACGGCGGCGGCGGCCCGCTGGCGGCCGGCGCCGCGGCCGGCTCGGCCGCTCGCTCCCCGCTCGGCACGCCGCCCGGGAGTTCCGACTCGGAGCCGGCGGCGGCGCCCGACCCGGCCGCCGAGCGACGCCTCTGAGCCCGGTCGCTAGTGCAATACTCCGCCGCCGCCGCCCGACCGGCCGACCGCCGCGCTAGGTAAGGTGGCCGCGTCCTGACCCGACCTGGCCTCTTCACCCCCGGCGACACCGGCGCGACTCTTTCACAAACCAGCTGTTTTTTATTTATGACTTTCGTGATTGGTGGGCAGTCACTGTCGTTTGCGTTGAGTTGAGCGTTTTCGAGAGGCTGGGCGGATAGACGCTATATCGGTGTGCAGATCCGTTGATATTGAGTGGGATAGTCACCCGCGTCGCGCGGGGTAGACGCCTAGAGTCAGATCCACCTATCGTTCGTGTGTAAAGGCCTATGTACTGTGTTGCTTGTACAATAAAGAGTCTATCGAGTGGCCCTCGCCCTTTTCCACCGTCACGACCGCAGAAAGCGGGAGAACGCCGCACCCAGCCTGAGACGAACACTAACAGCGCGCGCCGTACGCATCACCACGCGCCGGCCGCTGGAGACGGGGCGGGGCGCCTGCCGGGCAGGGCTCGGCCAGGTACCGGGTCTGGTCCGGCGGGGCGCCGGGCCGCGGTCCACCAGCAGCGGCGCCGACCCACCATCAGCGGGGCCCGCTCGTAGGCCGCTGAACTAACCGCCGGCCGTCAGCGCGCGACCCAAAACAGACACCGCCGACCGAGTAAATATTTACCGGGCTACCCGGGCGGTGCAGATAGCGGGCCAACACGCTTTTTACCCGGGTGTAAGATAATATCGTAATGTCGTGGCCTGTGTAAACAGGAAGAGTGCGAGTAGTGCAACGGCGATAGCGGCACCGGCGCGGTCAGAGGGTCTGCGCCGCCGCGCAGGCCCTGATTGCCCCCTACAAGTGTCAGCCGATCAAGCCGCCGGCTCTCGTGCCTGGGGCGCGTCAACGTTTACGCCACGGGGAGAACACGCAGCCGCTAACGGCTAACGGTATAAGCGGCTCCGAAGCAGGAGATTCCCGGAAGGCCTGCCCCTGTGAGGGTGGAATGTGATAGTGCTACACCACACCGCTCAGCCGAGCCAGGCCGCCGTCGCCAGGGCGGTCGCGCTGGATCTTTCAGCTTTCTCACTCTCCCCTTCCATGCTGGACCACAGAGGTAGCGCTAGATATTGCCCCGGTTGAAGCGTCTGCCCCTCCCCTGCCCCCCCCCCCCCCCCCCACCCCCCCCCACCCCCCCACCCCTGTCCGCCGCCCCTGCTGCCGGCCCTGCTGCCGGCCCTGCTGCCGCCCCTGCTGCCGCCCCTGCTGCCGTCCCTGCTGCCGCCCCTGCTGCCGCCCCTGCTGCCGGCCCTGCTGCCGCCCCTGCTGCCGGCCCAGCAGCGCCGCCTGAAGCCGCACACTCGGCTGCGCTCCGCGCCGGTAGCGTGCACGGACCGAATGCGACGCATCCCATGCAGCAGTCGCCCGTCGCCGGACCGTTACCTTGTTTGCGGCCGTGCCCGCGCCGTGCACTGGTGACGTGTGCGGGCTGCTGACGGCCGCGGGCCGGAGGTGCCCCCGGTCCGGGCGGCGCGCCCAGCGGCCAGCGCCCAGCGGCCAGCACCGCCGACGGCTGGAGCAGCGAGCGCCAGGCGCCCCCGCAGCCAGGCTGCCTGGCTCGCCCGCAGCCGCGTGGCCCTCCTGTGTGTGGCGTGGAGTGTAAGAACGGCGGTCGTGTTGTGAATGACGGCTGTATGGTACGGTGCTAAATGGGCTGTCGATGTGGCATGCACCATGCCATTGTGTGCACTTTAATACTTTGATAAGCCACCTCTCGGACACCGGTGAATGCCGGCGATACACGCACGTATTTGCTCGTTTTAAATCCATCGGTATTGGGGATCACAACAAACGAAAAACTGGGCTCATGCGGTTGAGTGCGAACAAGTGCGTAGTTATGCAAGACTGGTGCACATATATCTTAAAGCTCATAGCTCATACACAGGGCGGCATGGTTGAATATAAATCTCAAACAGTGATTATAATGCGCCGATACATATCATGTCAGTCATTAAGAACATGCTACTCCATGATGTGATAGAAAGGTATTTCACCGAGCCCCACCTCAGTTTGCAATCGTAACACACCAAAGAGTCATCACCGCAAAAAATCTTGGGTTTCGGAAAGAGAGGGAGATATATATATATAGAGAGAGAGAGAAGACTCAGCTACCACACCAGATGGAGGTCACAGGGGCAGGCGTGCCATCGGGCACAGGAGCATACGTACCGTCGGAAACAAGGGCACGCGCATGCTGTTGTAGGTAGCTCGCAAGCGCACACACACACCCACACACACGCGCGCGAGCGCGCGCGCACACACACACACACACTGCTGCATTCGAGATCCCACAGGCTTCAGTTGCGGCCATAGGCAAGCTATTGAACACAAACTGCGGAACTCAAAAGTGCTGTCGGCAGAAGTGCACGCGAACAGTGAGGGCAGGAATGCAGAAGCAGACACCACCCAGTGCGTGCTACAAAACATGCAGTCACTGTATTTGGAAGACCGGTGAATGTGTTTTTACGGAGTCCGGGATGCGAAGAGGGGTCCCCTGCAGCCAGCGCCCACAGAGCGTCCCTAAGAGGACAACATGTGGGTTACGCAGTGAGAGAAGCCGTCAGTCCCAAAGCGAACAGCGCTGAGAACTGACCTTCACTGAGTCTGAGGGTGGCTTGTCTTCGACGCAGAGGGTTCAAAAGAGGCAGCAGACAGGAAGACAAGGAACACAAGGTTTCGACAGGGACTTCCGCAGAGTGCAGCTGACTGCCTCATTGAAATCACTACAATTCGAATATGTTGTCAGTGTAAAACGCTCTTCTCGACAGACGTTCTTAGCCAACAGCTCGCAGCACTCTCTATTCTGCATCGACGTAAGCAACTGCTCGGGGCACAACTCATCCTGATGGACGTCATGGGCAGTGGAAGCCTCGCCCAGCCGGACTCGAACACCATCCCAACGTTCAAGAGGCACCTCCCTCACTAGACGCCAATCAGAGGCTGCAAGTGTGGTGTTTGAACCGTTGCTTCCCTGTCCCCCAATTCGTGCATGCGATGTTTGGTGTTCGTGCCGTTCCTTCGGCAGTCGCTGTGCGGTCCACGCTCTTCGCAGCCGAAGGCTCTGGTCGTCGAACAACTGCATCCCCGCTCGAAGTGGTTGATAATGACATTGTGCAAGCACATGTGCTTGTATGTGCGGCTTCGTTGCCAGTATTCGTGATAAGGGAATGGTGATCATGAACTATGACAGCGCTCTAGCATCTTTTAGGGAACTAGATTCCTGTGCGTGGCTGGATCACATTATATCATGTATATTATGCCCTATGCATCATAACCATCGACCTGTTAAAGGGCCTCGTAAAGGGCCTCTTACTTAAAGGGCCGTTCCAACTGCGTTTTTTTAAGAATATCTTCTGAACAGTTTTGCGCCGACATTTTCTGAACCTGAGTTTCAGTCATTTCTGTGTATGTTGCAGAGCTTTGGAGCTGTTCAACTGTGGCAGTTCATGGCATATGACCTCTTCGCTGAGGTCATGTAAGTGGTAGCATCATCAAAATTGACAGCTAACGCTCACTTCTCGCAGGAAATGCGTTTTTCTGGACTATTTTCACATATTTATCCCTCTAATGTGCATTACAATAATAGCAATTGCTCCTGTAAGGTTAAAGTCGACCGAGCTTGCCAATGGACGACCCGACCTTGAAAGATCGGGCCGTCCATGGTCAATGTAGGTCGACTTAGCACTTGTAGCCAGAATTGGCATATCGATCATTTTATCTAAACCAAAACGGCGCATGCCTTCCGGTATTACAAGGGTTTATTCTAGCGCTGTTTTTTCTCCGTTTGATTAACTTTGCTTCGTAATTAATATAACCGACCAGGCCAATACAACATAAGCGTTAACAGCTTTGGCCTCACATGACATGACAGGTCACACTTGATGATTGATGTCTTCGGGTACCCACCTGCTAGAGCTTTCGGCATTTCAATTCAAGAGTTGTTCAACGCTTCTTTCTTCATTACCGTGACATGCATTGTTCTGAAGATAACAGGAGGGATCTATAACGTGTTAATTGATTGATATGACTTTCTTGAACCTGTCAAAGCTACTTTCACCTTCGTTTAGTTAAAACTACCACATGGAGTTTGACAAGAGCTTTTCCAACACTTTTTCCCATGGGTGTAGCTTGGTCGGATTTCGAGTTCTTAGGGAAGGCATTGCCCTCTCCGTAGGGCTTTGCGTAGGGCGTACTGTGAGATGAATGTAAAAAAGTGCGCACAGCGAGGGTTGACAGGGGGCACAGGGCGATCCATGCTCATCTGAAATGGCTAGTATGCATGTAGTGGGAGCAGCGTGCCATAGTCTAAACAGCACACACCGGCCAATCTCCGAGCTTCCAGAACCAACCACATCAATGCCATCTGACAGCGGCATTCCGTCCAGCCAGGCGTAAGTAACTGAACTGGATTGCACGCCTCGCATATGGCAACAAGCACCATGTGTGCTTGTCTGCTCACCAGACAGCCGTGACACGAGTTTTTTCTCCGTACATGAGGTGTCTGACACAACAAGGCACTTAGACGATGAAATCTAAAGGTAAATGACATGTATCACTGTTTGTTGACTGTGCCGTGTTTCATTGGGCCCGAACGGCTTGTCCCTGACTGGTTTGACGCGAGACACTGCTTCTAGTGATTCTAGTGATCTAATGACGCGACTTACCTCCCTGGAGGTCGAAGCTCTGAATTACGTA